AAAGACAGAAATTCAGAAATGACCAGGAAGAAGAGAGCTATGAGTTTAAAAATGAAAAGAACTCTATGAAAACTACCCAACTACGTTAGAACAATGTCAGGATAACAGGTATACCAGGAGAAGAGAGAGAGAGGAACAGAGGAGCCTACTCAAAGAAATAATTGAAGAGAACATTTGCCAAGCCTATGGAAAGAACTGGACTTTATAACAAAGGAAGTAAACATAACACCTAATTATATCAATGCAAAAAGACCTTCTCCGTGACACATTTTATTCAAACTGTCAAAAATCAATGACAAAGAATTCTTAAGGCAGCCGGGGGGGAAAAACTAACCTACAAAGGAAACCCCATTAGATTATCATCTCACAGTAGAACATTACAAGACAGGAGCAAGTAGAATATTCAAAATATTGAAAGAGAGGAACCATGAACCAAGGATAATATATCCAGCAAGTTATTCTTTAGATATGAGGGAAAAATAGAGGCCTTCCCAGACAAAAGCTGAGAATTTACCACCACAAGACCTGCACTGCAAGAATTGTTGAAACAAGACAAAAGTAGACAAAACTGAGTAAGATGACTAACAGACAGAAGCAGGGAACTGGAGATCTACTCCAGGATAGGATATTAAACAATTACAACAAAAGTTAATGTGGGGGGTGGGGGGATGCAGGCAATTAAAAAAATAACTACTGCAAGTTGGTAATGAACACGCACCATACAAACGGATAATCTGTGACCACAAAATCATAAAAGGGCTGAGGAAAGTGACTTGAATGGGTACAGGTGAATGAAAATAAGAAGCAGAAGAACAAGTACTGCTGTATGTATGAAACATCTTACACAAACCTAATGCTAACAAAAATCCAGAGCTGAGATTCCAAACATAAAAAAAGGAAATGGGGGGGGGGGAGAATCATAAAACACCACCAAACTAAAATAGACAGAGCCGGGCCAGGCGTGGCTCAGTGGTTGAGCATCGAACTAGGCTCCAGGCGATCAGGGTTCGATTCCAGGTCAGGGCACATGCCCAGGTTGTGGGTTTGATCAATGACTCTCTCATCATTGATGTTTCTGTCTCTCTCTCTCTCCTTTCCTCTCTCTAAAACCAATAAAGATATTTAAAAAAAAAAACAACAAGAGACAAAGATGGCCATTTTATAATGATAAAGGGGGCAACTCATCAAGAAGACATAACATATAAATGCACCCAACCTGACGAGAGCACCAAAATACATTAAGTAACTTACTCAGAGACCTGTAAGAAAAAACTGATAAAAATACAATTCTAGCAGGGGACCTGACTACCCCATTGACAGTAATGGAGAGATCACCCTGACAAAAAGTCAGTAAGGAAGTATCAGCCTTAAATGACACATCTGACCAAATACTTAATTGATATCCTAGAACTTTCCCTCCAAAAATGACAGAATACACATTCTCAAGTGCACATGGAAAATTCTCAAGGATAGACCATATGTTGGGGCACAAAACTAGTCTAAATAAATTTAAGATGACTGAAATCATAACAAATGTACTGTCTAACTACAATGGTGTGAAACTTCAAATCGACCAGAAGCAAGCCAGAAAAACCTCAAGTGTGTAGAGATTAAACAACATGCTACTGAACAACAACTGGTTCAAAGAAGAAATAAGACATCAAAAGATACACAGAGACAATGAAAATACAACATACCAAAAGTTTGGGGCGCAGCGAAAGTAGTACTAACGAGGGAAGTTTATACAGCATTACAGGCCTAGCTCAAGAAGGAAAATCTCCATCTAACATTACACCTTAAAGAACTAGAAAAAGAAAAACAAATGAAGCCCAAAGTCAGTTAAAGGTAAGAAATAATGAAAACCAGAGCAGGAATAAATGAAATAGAGAACAAAAGGGCAATAGAAAAATTAATGAAACAGCGCTGGTTCTATGAAAAGATAAAATTGACAAACCTCTGGCTAGACTCACTAAGGAAAAGACGACTCATCAAATGAAAGAAGTTAAAACAGCACAGAAATACAAAGGGTACCATGAAAGGCTATATGCCACGAAGTTCGATAACCTAGAAGGCACAGACACATTCTTAGAAACATATAACCTTTCTAGACTGAATCATGAGGAACTGGAAAACCTAAATAGACCAATCACTAGGGTAAGGAAATAGACACAGTGATCAAAACCTCCCAAAAAACACTGGTGACTACTACCAAGCATCCAAAGCAGATTTAACACCAATTCTAAAAATTGAAGAGGAGGAATACTTCTTAATGCATTTTACAAGGCCAGCATTACCTAGACACTAACACCAGGGGATACAACACACAAAGTTACAGGACAATCTCTCTGATGAACAAAATGCAAAAATCCTAAACAAAATACGAGCAAGGCAAATGCAACAGATTAAAAGGATCCTACATCACTAACAAGTGGGGCCCATTCTGAGGATGCAGAGATGGTTCATCCACAAATCAACATGATACACCACTTTCACAAAAAGATAAAAATTATATGATCATATCAATAGATGCAAAAACAAGCATTTGAAAAGCTACGTCTATTTATGACCAAAACACTCAATAGAAGTACCTCAACGTAATAAAGGCCATATATGATAGTCTTCTCTTTTCCATTTATTTCTCATTTTATTACTATTTTTCCTGTTGTTCATTCTTCAAATTACTGAATCGAATGACTGCTTTATTCATTCTTAATCTGTTTCCTGAAAATGATTTCATGAAAAGGAAACATGATTTCAAATCTAATTTTTCCCTCTCAGTTCTCCTTTAGCTGTTTTCCCAGATTCAGACATAATGATTTTATCATTATTACACGGTAGGTGCTTCCTCATTTCTCTTTTTAATCCAAGGGTTACCTGGTTACCCATCCTCCCTTTTACCCCAAATTTTGTCAGTTTTCAGGCTGTTTATGAAGTACAGTAATATCTGTATTTACAATTTTTGATTAATTCTATCAGCATATAATCCCCCATCTTTTTTCTTCTTTGCATTAAATCATTTTTACTTCCCCAGCTTTCTCTTAATATTTGTCTAATAATGGTTTTGCATCTTGTTAGTTTTTGCCCATTTTTTAAAAAATTCAGTCTTTTAAATTTTTTACTCATTTATATCAGTATCGACTCATGAATTCGTATATTATGTTGTAATTTGATAGTCTCATTATTTATTTTGATACACAAATTGTCCTAGATTTGGCCAATGGAAGCCTCTTCTGGCTGCGTCCTATTTCCTTCTAACACATCCCCATTGCTTTTTGTTGTTGTTTTACCATTTACATACTCAAAAGATTTTCGAGGATTATTTTGCACTTTCCGCCGTCTTGGAATCAGCCATTGAGATTTAGCTCTTGGTATGCTCACTGCTACCAAGGTAAAATTGTTTCTATACCCGGTCAGTGGATAGAATCAATCCATAAAAATATATACACATATTCATATAACTACATATAACTATACCTATCTGTCTAAACCTCTGAGTTCATACCAACTCTTCCAATTTCAATTCATCGCCTCAGGGTTCTTCCCAGCCCTCTCCCTCCCGCGTCCCTTGACCTTTTCTCAAATGGGGGAGGTCTGGCTCCCATTCTTCTCCCCCGAGTAACTGATCTGCAGTGTAGTCGGTCTCCTAACCATTCCGGCCACCCGCCGCCTCACTTGCTGGTGCTGCGCTGCTTCACTGTGGCACCTCTCAGCAGCGGGCTCCCACGGGCTCCGGCACACACCAGTTCCTCCATGCTCACTTCCTCACACACTAATGTCTCTATGCAGGGAAGGCAAGTAAAGATGGGAAAAAAGGGTGAGAGTCTGTCCGCAGTTACATTTCAGATATTTACATTCACTGTAATTTAGAACTTATTTCTGCTGTTATTTCACAATTTCTACTTACTGTAATTCTCCCACACACACACACACTTCTGAGTAGCAATGGACAATTTCCTTCTAACTATTTAAAAGGTAGTATGTCCCACTTTTGATACGGCTGAGGGTATTCCACTGTATATATGTACCACAGCTTCTTCCGTCGTATGCCAAAGACAGTCAGGTTGTCCCCATGTCTCGGCTGTTGTAAGCAATGCTGCAGTGAATATAGGGTGCAGATCTCTTTACTCAACATTTGAAAGCTGGACATCAGTTACAAAAGTGTCATTATTATTCCACTTTATGAGAAAACTGAGGCACAGAGGCTATAAACCAGTAAGTGAAGACGGCTCCAAAACCTCAGATCTTTTCTCTCTGTAACAATACCTCTTACTACTTTTTCGGTAACAACATGTGACAACGATATACAAGAGGAATTAGGGGTATTATTGCTTATTTCTTTTCTAAAATTTCAACTCAGTGCCACAGGGCACCTTTCCAACATGAAAATTCTGAATTTAATAGAGAATTGGAATTTACTTGCAAAAATTCATTTTACTTTAGACTTTTTAGAAAACTTCTGTTTTACAAAATTAGGAATGCCACAAGGGCATGTTGATAGAAAGTTTATACGGAATTTGAAGGTCTACTTGTACAATATAAAGATAGCTCTAGAATCTAAGGGAAATGCCATTAGTCTCTCATTCCCAAATTAAATATATATATATATATATGCTTTAAAATGGACATATTCCTTATTCTAACCCCACAATTTCAAAATTGTGTAAACTGAATGGATGCAAGCTTTGTAAATCCCAAAGAAGTTTTGCCTGAAACAAAATATATACAGTATACCAAATATTTCTAGCTTTTAGGGCTTTGAATATAAGCTAATAAATCAACTAAAAATGGGAACAAGTCTTTTGATGGAAGAAAGAAAACGACTGAAAAGACTGTAATGAGACAATATGTTTACTGGACTGAGTAAATACCAAATAATTTATTTTATGAAAATTGCTTTCTTTGTTATATACCATCTGTTGGGTCATACCAATACGGTCAAACAGAAAAAAATATTTAAAAGTCTTTCAAAACATAAAGAAAAAGAAAACTCACCCATCAAATACAAATATACTATTTTATTCTAAGGGAATATTTTTGTGGTTTCTGCAAGGGGAAAACCCAAAGTGGTTAAAAAACAAAAAAGGATAACTTAGATGTTTCTCTGTGTTGTTTTTTTCTCCCCTGGAAAAAAATGTAATTTTACATAATTTTAATAAAATTTTAAAAGCAAATAATTGGAGACATATCAACAGCTATGCTTATGAGGAATGACCAATATTTTCTTGTATGAATTAATTTAGGGTCTGGACAACTCTGTGATCTAACATGCAATTTAAATCACGATACAGTCATTTACCTGGGGTATTGGCCGTTCTCAGTTAAAAAGATACAGATTTTTTCCCCTCTCTGGTGTTTTACAACAATTTATCTATTGTGCCAAGAATCTTTGTTTTTCATACAACTACAGAAGGGGAAATGTTAGTGTTTATACAAATCATAAAATGAATATAGTGGGGACTATTACACCTGAAGTTTCTGGACAGTTTATTGGCAGACTTATGAGACAATTCAGTTGTTTTTTCTCCATATCAAACAAGGTCTGGAAGTAAGAAGTTTTCCAATCAGAAGTGACGAACACAGACGGAATTAAATCAGACATAATTGGGGCAGACTTACTTCTTTCACACAGTTCTCAGTAACAAAAATGAAATTCGTTACAGGCAGAGGGACAGAACCATCAAGTACACAATGTCAAAAGGCCTATTTTTTAATTTTTATTGTAGTTAAATGACTTTCATTTCTTTATTAAAAAAACAAAAACTTGCCTCTCCCATCTAAAAAAATGGGACATACTGAAAAATCTTTTAAGGTTAAAATTTCTAAGAGGTTTTTGGACTTCTCTCATTTCTATTAATCTCTCCTAAAGTTTTGTGATTAGTCAACATCATAAAAGCTTTGATTCAAAATTTTGTGGGGAAGAAACTGAGAATGGAGATGAGGGAGATGGATCGATAGGTCAAAAACACCTAGAACTTACAATCCTCTGAAAACCACTAAAACAGCTAGAGTTTGGAATAATCTATAAGAAGACCTGCTTGTGAATAAGAAAGACAATCAATGTCTTTGTATCCTAACCCCAAAAGCCCCATTTTCAAGTTTCTTAGGACAACAAGGTCATCTTCCAAATGCTTTGTATAGGAACATACTAGGATCTTTTCTACCGTAATTCGGACAGCTAAGTAATACTGTGTCTTTGTGGAATCACCCACAGGTTTGCCAGAGTTAAGGAGAGACTATCCTTTTTGAAATGACAAGGGCCTCCAGAAACTGGTGCTAAAGACAAAATAAGAGGAATTATTTAGGAGATAGGAAGATAAAACAATGAAAGGAAAGCTGCCATTTGGGGATAAAATGAAAACAAAAGGAGAACCCCCATTTCTGTGTACCACAGCTCATGCCATGAGACAGCAGCAATAAAGGCTGATACCCAGAGAAGTGGGCATTTTAGTGGGTTTTCTAAAACATTTCTAGACACCTGTGGTCTAATGGGATCCACAGATCCTCTCTGTGTGTAACTGGTCTGTGGAGTTTCAGCCCCTTTACCTTAATTTACCCACACCCAGACCCACAGCTGAGACAGCTAGACCCAGAAAGTAAAAGGGACACATTACTGTGTGAACAGCAGTGTAGGCCCTTTTTCCTGATGTGAGGGGCCAATGGCAAAGCACCAGAGGCTTCTATCCTTCACAGAATTGGCTTGGCAGTGAAAATCAAAATCAAGACCACTTCACTCTCTACCTTTTAAGAAAAGTTGAGTATTTTTATTGGGTCTTCAAGTCTGGGTCCCACAGTCCTCACCTGATGTCACTCTTAGCTCTGTACTGAATGCTCCCCTGACTTTTCCATAGGGCTTGCCCAAGTAGCCTATCGCAGCCAAGGTTTCACTCCAAAGCTACCTCTCTAAGGTCTAAGGTTACTATGGTAGAGTTTTATATAACAGTTTTCCTTAAAAATATTCCACAATTTGTTATTCCCAAACAAAATAAGACTATGCACCACTCAGGGAAATTGGTTAGTCATTCTGAAGATGTCTAAGAACTATATCACTGCCAAAGAACAACATTTCTCAGTTCACATTCTTTCCTTCAGTTTTCATTTGTACATCCACACTGTGGTTCACGAGTCATCTGTTTTCCATTATCTTATAATCAAGTCAAGAGGACTTGGACTTATACATCGTTTTCCAAAGCTGGATGCATTCACAGTTTGGTGCATACCAACGTGTATGAAAATAGGAACCCCACTTCTGCTTTAATCTGACAATTCAACATCAGAGTCTTCAGATTTGGCTTTGGCAAGTTCTTCATGTACCTCTCTCACCATGAGAATACGAGTTAACATGGTGTCCAGGGTGCCAGGGTCTATCGGAAATGTGGAGTACCACATGGGGCTATTCGGGACACAGGAGCGCTCGGGTTGAAGGTAAAACACATCATTCCTCTGCTTCACACTTTCAGAACTATCCACAGGAAAAAGAGAAAAAAGAAAACTGGTGATCAGAGAGCAAAGGAAATGTATTACTCTTTAATGTAATGGCTCTCAACTTTGCTCTGCTATGACTAGTATCATAGATTAGCAATGTACCCACACAGTTTATAAGCATTTTCCCCCAGGAGCAACCTGTAACTCCACATCTTTTCTCCCACACTCAATAAACCATATTGGTTTGGAGGTGAGTATAATCTTAGTAGAAGACAAAGTGTACATTCTTCACAAACTTTAGTACTTATAACGTTTTTAGGAGCAACAAAAATTCAACTCACATGTGACACTGTGGCTGAGAACCACATCTCCTCAGCACCCACTATCTTGGAATGAGCCCAGGAGCACTCAATACACATTATCAAAGGGCAAACACAGTCATTATATGTCTTTAGAAAAAAGTGCTTTAGTGTGATCTTACAACTCTAAAGTTATCAAGTTTCTGTAAGAAAAAAAACGCTCAAAAATTTTCAATTCCTTAAAAATAAATAGTTTTATAGTTTTAGCAGTATAACTTTTCCTCTAAATACCTTTTCTACATAAATAATAAAATCACAGCAGTTTAGACATCACATAAAGGTTGAGCAACAGTTGTAAAGATCAAACAATGGCACAGATTCTTATTCTTGCTTTTGAAGAGATTTTTGGGGAAAATATTAAGATAAAACAATTTGTTTCTTGGTTCAAAATCCAGGCAGATGCAAGAATGGGGAAATAATAAAATAGGAGGTAAACCTTGTCTTTAGACTTTGACTTTAGCCACAGGCAAGCTACATTTCTGATAGTCAAGCATCTGAAACCCAAAATACACTGACTACTTTTTGAGGAGTATTATACTGTATCTAGGTCAGAGGAAGAGCACTTACCATTTTGACAGGTAGAACTCATAAAGTCGGACAGGGCATCTTAGGGGGTTGTCAGTATTCTCTGCCATCTCCACACCCACTGGTACCTCATCTTCTTCATTTCTTTTCCTCTTGCCAACAGTTAGTTTATCTTGAGGCAGTAAATAATCAAAAGATTATTTTTTTCAAGTATCAAGACACCCAACAAGCTTTGCTTCCAATAAGAATTGACACTCCCTCCCCCTTCCTTTCCCTTACTCATTCAACAAATATTTACTGAGCACCTATGGAGGGGCTACATATAATTTTAAGTGCAGGGTTAATAGCATTGAACAAAACAAAATCCCTGTCCTGTAAAAGTTATGTTCTCCTGCTCACCAAAGTGGGGGCAGAATGGCTAAAGGCACAGTGCTAGAGAGTATGTCTCACTTCTGAGCCCAGCTTTTAGAGATTTTAATAGGCACAGGGCTCTTAAGGGTTTCGCGTGCTCTTCTCCTATGGCAGATATCGAGATAGAAGTTGTCACCTTTTTATCTAAAAATATTTCTGCTGCCGTGGTCATGTGGCTGGCTCGGTTGAAGCGTCGTCCAGTACGCTTTGAAAGGTTGTGGGTTCGAATACTGGTCAGGGCACCTACCTAGGTTGTGGGTTCGATCCCTGGTTGGGGCAAGTACAGGGGGCAACTGAAGGATGTTTCTCTCTCTCCCCATCTCTTAAATCAATAAAAATATATTCCCGGGTAAGGACTGAAATAAATATATAAAAATATTTCTATTATGGGGCATCAGTGCCCACCGGGCTTTTGTTCAAGTTACTTTTGCCATAGTGTTATAAGAAATGGAATCTTTTTTGGGAAACGAAATTCTCAGTAAAGTGAGCATTTGATAAGAAAAAAGCAAATCCTTTTCTACCAACAGAATTCTGCAGAGGCCAGGGGTGGAAAGTGGGCTCTTTCTTTTCCACTTTTCCATTCAATCTTCAAGAGAATAGTAGGTGGATCTGAGAACCTGAGGCAAAAGGTTTTTTTTCTTTTCTTATAGTTGCTCCTTACAACCAGCACAAAACTTTCCCCAGCTTCCTGCATTAGTTACTATTTAACACAATTCACGAAGGGAGTGGCAAGAAATATTCAAAGTGATGAAAAACATGGAACTACAACCAAGATTGCTCTACCCAGCAAAGCTATCATTTAGAATTGAAGGTCAGATAAAGAGCTTCTCAGAAAAGCTAAAGGAGTTCACCACCAAACCAGCACTACAGGAAATACTGAAGGGTCTTCTTTAACAAGAAGCTAATGAACAAAAGAATCTGATGAACTAAATAGATCCAGAGACACTGACACATGTAACAGACGATCATATTTCAGAGAGAAGAGGGGCGAGGGAAGAGGGTGGAGGGTGGGAAGAGGGAAGAGGAGTGGACGGTGGGAAGAGATTAACCAAAGAAGTTATAGGCATATATGCNTTGGGGGGGGGGAAATGGGACACCTGTAATACTTTCAACAATAAAGATAAATTTAAAAAAAAAAAACACAAAAAAAAAACCCAAAAAACACACAAATAAACTATTATTTAATAGGCTGTTTTGGAATGCAAAACCATAAACCACTAATAAAACTGTCACTGCTGCTATTACTCTACTGTGTACCAAATCAGTATACTCTAGGCCAGCTTTAAAGTTCTTTCAGAACTTCACAATTTATGTCAACTAAAAAGAGGTGCTCTGGTAAAAAAAAAAAAATGATTTAGAAATAGTAGACTTAACAGTTAAACAGATTCCTGCCCAGCCAGCGTGGCTCAGCAGTTGAGCATCGACCTATGATCCAGGAGATCAAAATTTGATTCCCAGTCAGGGCATATGCCCTGGTTGCAGGCTCAATCCCCAGTGGGGGGCGTGCCAGGAAGCAGCCGATCAATGACTCTCGTCATTGATGTTTCTCTCCCTCTCTCTCCCTTCCTCTCTCTGAAATCAATAATTATTTTTAAAAAAACAAAAAAAGTTAAATAGGTTCCTTTTAACTAGCAATTGACCATTTTGTTGTCTCTAAATCAGTGATTCTCAACTTAGCTACATATTTAAATTCCCTGGGAAGTTTTAAAATGAGGATTATTTGGGCTCTATCAATGAAATCAGAATTTTTAATTTAAAAGCCAATGGAAGTATACTGAAGCAAGAGATTCCTCTCATTTTGGGGAAAGCCTTGGACCTAGCCCTGACAGAAAGGAAAGCATTTAAATGTTAAAGGAAAGCTACATTCCTCCAGGTTTACAATTTACAGTTACCCCTCTGCAATTAGTTTCTAGTTGAATACTAATGAGACTTCAATAGAAATCTCCCAAACTCCACCACACACCTGGTTCTGACTCTGGCTTTTGTAAAGGTGGAAAGAACCTCAGATATGTCATCTTGGTGCTGTACTTCAAAATTCTGGTCCGCCTCATCACGTGAGCAAAGGAAAGCTTCAAGTGCTCAGTAACATTCTTCAGTTGAAAGTATTTGGTATTGAAGAAAAGAAGGGTGTTCAAGAGGACAATTGGTGAGTAAGCGCCCAGCTGTTTGCACTCCCACAAATGTTCTTCTTCAATGCGAGAGAACATGTAACCTGGACCAAAGAAGAGGGAAAAAAGAAACAGTATTAAGCTCCTGATAAATAAGGCTAATTTCTCAAATTCTCAGATAGGAAGACATGAAAGAAAGAAAAAAAAAGCCTGATTGTTTCTCTCCTTCCCCCCTTCCTTATACAGAAAAACAGAAAAGGCACGGCAAGGAAAAGCTCAGATGATTGCACTGAAGCACTGAGCATTCTCCTGAAGTAGCTTCACTCTACTGTTACTGTAGACCAGGGGCTGGCTAACTCTTTCTGTGAAGAGCCAGATGGTAGAGGTTTTAAGCACTGTGGGCCATATAGGCTCTGAACAACTTGGTTGTTGAAGATAAGGAGCTGCAGACAATACATAAACAAATAGATATGGCTATGATATACCAATAGTTAATCTATAGACAAAAATTTGAGTTTCATACAATTTTCACATGCCTCAGAATATAATTATTCTTTAGATTTCCCACCCCCAAACCACTTAAAACATAAAAACCATTTTTAGCACATGGATTATATATAGAAACAGGCAGCAGGCCAGATCTGGCTCATGGGCCGTAGTTTGCAGACTCCTGTTCGAGATCAATATACTTACTGTTGACTGGTTCAGTTTTATTTAGCTAAGTAATATCATCAAAAGGCAGGTAGTGCCCACCCCCTTTCCACTCCCTCTTATTTTACACTTGATTTTAGCCAAAAGGCCGAGAAGCAATTCCCTCTTATTTTAAATTTATACTGTGATAAATTCATGATAAGTTATCTGGAATTTTTCTTGAAAAGCATAGGTCTTACAGAATAATTAAAATAAGTATACCTTTAAATGCACTTTCCCCAAGATATCCCTTAAATGTAGATCTTTCCTCACATTCTCTCCCCAACCTCTTTGTTGCTGATTCTACATTCTATTTTTAGGAGATTATCCACAAACATGAATTTATTACTTCCATATATCTATGCCCCTAGCCTCCTCTTTAAATGCTAAATGCAGCAAACCACCACGCTGTTCAGAATGCTTCAAAGGTGCTCTGTAGCCCAACAGAAAGGGGCACATATCCCAGAGCATCACATTCAACATCTCCATTCACAGCCAGGAGCCTAAGACCAGGACTGAACTAGGGTTTGTCCAATGGTCAAAGACAATTCGAGGATGAAGACTTAACTCTCAACAACCAGTTCAGGGTACTTTATAAAAAATTTCATGAGGTCCACTGCTAACAGGTGGAGTCTGAAAGTAGAATATGTGGCAGTTACTGCTCCAGTGTGCAACTTGACCAACACTCCCAGAACAACGACAGTTTCTAAAACAGTAAATGGAACCTCCAGTAGTTTTTTATTATTTTCAACAGTTCGTATGTATATATGCACTGTTTGGAAGTTATAGTTTTACTAAAAGAATAATAAACCAAAGACTTTCTCCTCAGGAGTCCAAATACATTATAAATTAGGACATAGAAAATGAACAAGTTAGAAAAAGATAATCTCACAACTTAAGCAATTTAAGAAGGCATATCATGAAAAGAATCAAAATAAAAAAGAATCACCCTACCATTAGGAAGTATTGTAGGTTCCCATATTTTCAAGAGTTTGGTAAGTTCAATCATAAATCTGGAATAGGGCTCTGTAAAAATGTTATCTATTCTACCATTTTCAAACAGGTACTACAAGAGAAAAAAAGTAGAAACACATGTTGATACAAAGAAATGTCAAGCTTTAAGTGAAACTTATATAATGTTATTAACCAATGTCACTCCACATCCAAGTCTAATTGTAGCATGTAAAACTATGCTAATTATAACCATCAAGAACCATATCACAGCCCGGCCGGGCATGGCTCAGCTGCTGAGCATCAACCTAGGATCCAGGAAATCGAGGTTCGATTCTCGGTCAGGGCACACACCCAGGTTGCAGACTCAATCCCCAGTCAGGGGCATGCAGGAGGCAGCTGATCAATGACAACTCTCTCATCACTGATGTTTCCCTCTCTCCCTCTCCCTTTCCCTACCTCTCTCTGAAATCAAAGATATATTTTTAAAAACCACAACAAAAAAAAAACAACCCACAAGAACCATATCACAGGATGGGAAACAACAGCTTGGGTCAAGTATTGTTAAAAAAAACATTTTGAGGGTGCAGGTCAGGTCAGATAAAATCACTCAGAGAAATACAATGTGCATTAACAGAGCAACACAAGGAAGCACATAATTAGATGCCAAAAATCTTTTGGTGTTTTTAGGATTTGGTATTTTAAATCTATTTTTCTATGGCTATCTTGGTTTCCTGCTTTTTTATCAATGTATGACTTGGAGAAAATTTTTATTTCTACTTGAATTTATTCTGGTTAATAAAAATTAAAGATTTCAAAGTACGTTCCTATAGGTCTCTTCAAAGGCAATTGATGATCACATTGCCAGATTGGTTCTGATGCTGAAAAGTATTCTTGCATAATTAGCTACCCATCAGAATGTTATTCATCAGAAATACATTTATATACAAAAATGAATTTCAGATGTATTAAAGATGTCAATCTAAAAAAAATGTTTTAGACAAAAATTTATGAGAATTTAAATTTAAATATTCAAGTAGGAAGACCACCCTAGGCAACAAGGAAAATCCAGAAACTATAAAGAGAAATTGGACTGTGTAAAAAGGAAAACTTCATGAATGGCAAACATAACATACACAAAAAACTGAAAGACAAAAATATAGTAGAATATTTTATTTCAAATACTTAATATTTAAGTTAATATCCCCAATATAAAAGAGATTTTATGGATATAAAGGAAAAATTCAAATGACCAACAACATAAACCGACATTCTAATTTACAAAAGTTGCGAAAATACATATTGGAGTAATTTTTTTAAACTCAGAATAATAAATATTAAAAAGAGGAGTGGCAAAGAGGATTCAAGAAGTGGGCACACACACACTGCTAGTAAAAGTGTAAATTACTATAACCATTTGTGCAGACAGAGCTAACACTGTCTTAAAGCTAATCTGTCATCTTGACATCTGGGTGAATCCGAACCCTTGACTTCCTCCCTTTCCCCAATGTGAATCCTGGAATATGTTCACAAAGCTCTGAATGATCACAGGATTTCCATTAGTTCTGTCTTGGGGGGAGTCGCTCTCAATGTTCTCTCTCTCTTAACTGGCACTGGCACCACAGCCTCCTAGCACCTGATCCCTTTGATCACCCAAGCATTCTCAGGGTTTGGGGGAGGGCGGCTGAAGGCACAGAGATCCATTTTGTCTTGTGCCACCTGAGACTGTATTTCTGTATGTAAGTTCCCTATTAAACTCTTTCACTGACAAGCTAGACTTGTCTGCCTCGTTCTTTGGCCTTTCGGTTCCTTCCGTGTTTGGGGGCTGCTTTGCATATATGACCCTTTCACAAAACATCATTCTGAAAATAATCTAAAAATATCTTAAAACTGGAAAAATACGTATATGCCATAACCTAGAAATAAAAGTACCAATTCATTAGGTACACAAACAAAATATTTACTGAAGCACTGTCTGTAAGAGTAAGAGGGAGGGGAACAACCTGAATACATAAAAGAGAAAGGGCTGAATAACTGGTACAGTCATACTCTGCAATATTATGCAAATTTCTTTTTTAAAGGAAAAAGTTTGTTTTATAGTCACCTGGAGAGATACACAGATTGAGAAAAGCAAACTGCAAAAAAAAATTAGGTATGAGCCCCATTTTGCTAAAAACTAAGCAAAACAAAAACTATTAACAAACATGTATACACATGAATAAATGTACAGCACAGAAGAAGGTAAAGAAGGACACTTATGCTGCTACACTGGTTACCCAGGGAAACAGGAAAGGAGGGAGAGAAATTATCCTCACATTTACACTGAGCACTATTACTTATGTAATTAAAAAAAAAAACTTTAAGAATAAATGCTTAAATAAAATACCACCCCCTAGACAAGTGGAAGAAAATCTGGCAAATAAAGAAATGAAAAATAATACAGTATCCAGAGTTCTACCACCTCCAGAAGATAACCACTGCAGACATTTTTGATGCACTTCATTTTGTTATGTCTTTATTGTGACTGGTTTTTAAAACACTACATGTTAACATATAGTGATATGCATAAAATTTGTACCTTTATTCATTTTAATGCTTTACTATTAATATTTTTACATGTTACTAGAAGTCACTTTATAAACAACTTTTATTGGCCACATAGTATACAACTTTCTAAGCATACTATAATTTACTTAGCTATTACACTTTGGTAGACACTGAAATTATTCTTAATTTTGTGAAATAATGTCAGTGTTAGCTTTGACAGACTCCCAAAAGTGAATTACTGGCAAAAAGAGTAAAAACATTCAAATATATTCGTGAAACATATGCTCAAAACTGCTTTCTAGAAAGAATGTGCTAATTACCACCAGCTATGAAGGTTCAATGAACCCAACTCAGACCTCGTATCAACAATGAATGTTATTAATTTTTTTACTTTTGTTAATGTAATAGATAAATAATGGTATAACTATTATTTTACGTATTATAAAAATTTTAATGAGACTGCATGATTTATATAAATATATACATATATACATACCATCTCCTGTGTCACTTCTTTTGTGAACTGCTATTTGTTTCTTTGTTCACTTAACAATAAAATGCACTGTCCTCAATTTCTATTATTCTACTAATACCCTCAATTCAGCTTACAAAAGGCCATATTATATTGATCAAGATTTTTAAATCAAGGTAAGTGGTTCATGAACAAGAGAGCATAGAAAATTATCAGGGGGAACACTGTAAAGTACATGATTGTCTAACCATTATGCTGTATACCTGAAACTAATACAAAATAATATTAAATGTAAACTGTAATTGAAAAAAAATTTTTAATAAAAAAAATAAATAAAGAGGAGAGTAAAGGATTAACACCAAACAACCAATATACACTATAATTTTTCAACTTAATTCACAAGTTCTATCAGAATTATTAAAAATGCAATATTTTATAATTATTGAATTTGATACCTGCTGAATTCCAAGGCACAAGTACAAGATACTGTCTGGATCATACTTTTCACCATTTGGTCTCCGCACCTCTTGGATAAATTGGCATAAACCCAAACTCAACTCAGCAAAAGTGCAGGACAGAATATCTTCTTTCAGCTTGATAGAGCGGACTGTGGAAAGGTAGAAAACATCTCAAGTATTAACTTATAAGAAATATAGTAACATTTACTTGATTCACTGAATAAACACTAACTACTGTGCCCAGGTGCTGTGGTGTACACTGGTGAATACATGGATTACAGACAGATCCTGATCTCAAGGCCTTTTAGTTAAACAAATAAATACAATGCAATATGCATAGTGTAACAGGTGTTATGATAGAGGTTTATTTAAACGGGAATCAATGAAAGCAAACAAAGGACATCTAGTAAACAGAGAAGAATCAGGTCAGATTCTGGAGGGTGTGACACTAGTGCTAGACCTTGAAAGGTGAAGAAGAGTTAAACAGGTAAATAAAGAAATTGAGCCGCTTGTAAACTATAAGAAAAAGAAACATAATTCCTTATATTTTGCATAATGAACTCATGATTAGAAGATACAACCTTGCCTTTATAACAAATCTTTAAAATTGGGAATAGTATATCAATTTTTCTTTTTAACAATAAGACTTCAATTTCTAAATAATTTTAAATACTCCATTTATAGTCCAAAATTGACAGTAATATTACAGGTGACCACAAGGAGAAAAATGAGTTTTACCTCTACAGCCTGGCTCCGAGGATTCTTGGGAGAGTGCATGGTCTTGAGCGCTTCCTAAGGGGTCAGGACATGGGCTAGATGAGGCATGTTCAACTCCTGAAAGAAAAAATAAACAAGAAGTTTAAATAAAAATGGGGAAAACTTAAGTAAAGCCAATACCAAAGTTTTATGAGATTTTTGACCTAGTATTTATCCTTTTAGAATAGATTCACGACTTTACTTATTTATATTCCCCTTACCCCTAAGTCAAAACACAAATTCATGTTGTGTATTTACCGCCACATTTCAGATCCCCCTGCTCTTCCTTGGCATTTTTCCACTGAACCCAGTTCTTCCAGGCATTTACCCCATACATGTATTTCAGTGTCATCCCAGACACTGAGCACCCTTGAAAGGCTCCTTGAATAAGACTCCTGGGCTCCACAGGCACTATAGACTTCTTCCGTCCCTGTTAGAATTCCAAAAATACAGAATATAAAGTTTAGTTTTGGATCTTTTAGAATTGAGGTTTTCAAAGCTAGAAAAGGCATAAATTTACAGACTATGGAAATTAATATTAGATCTGAAAGACTCAGAGTTCTTACTGCTAAAAAGACCTTTAGAGAAAAGAAAAAAAGAAAGTTGAAATGCAGATGATCATATGTGATAATTACTAGCCTTCTGAGTATTTACTATGATCTAGTACCTGGACCCACCCAATGAGGTATAATAACAGTTACTATCAGGACTGTTAAATGGAACACATGAAGAGAACATATTCTGGGCTATAAAACAAGCCTCAATAAATTCTCTAACTTCAAAGTAATTAAACTAGAAACCAATAATGGAACAATGCTAAGAAAATACTTAGAAACCGGAAATTAAACAGCACATTTATAAATACCCCATGGGTCAAAGAAGAAACCACAAATGCAATTAGAAAATATTTTGAACTTAAGTAAAAATGTAAACAAAGCATATCAAAATTTTTGTGATGATGTTAAAGCAGTGCTTTATAGTATAGTTATAGTATTAAGTTGAAATTTATAGTATAGTATTAGTTATAGTATTAAGTATTAATACTTAGTTATAGTATTAAGATGTTAGTACTAGGGATAGTTATAGAATTAAGATGATTTATGAGAAATGAAAAAAGTCTGAAATTAATAATCTATCTTTTAAGAAACTAGAAAAAAAAGACGATGCTGAAACACAAAGTAAGGAAAAGAAGAGCATAAAAATAGGAGCAGCCCGGCGGGCATAGCTCAGTGGTTGAACATTGACCAATGATCCAGGAGATCACGGTTCAATTCCCGGTCAGGGCACAAGCCCAGGTTGCAGGCTCGATCCCCAGTATGGGGCATGTAGGAGGCAGCCAATCAATGACTCTGTCATCACTGATGTTTCAACTCTCTCTCTCCCCCCCTCCCTCTCTCTTCCTTTCTCTGAAATCAATAAAAACATATTAAAAAAAAAAAAAAAGGAGCAAAAATTATACCTAATCCTACAGACATTAAAAGCATAGTAAAAGAATATTGTGAACATTGTTATGCCAATAAATTTGACACCTCACATAAAAAAACAACCAAAAAAACCCACAAATTTTCTGAAAGACACAAACTAACAAAGCTTGCTTTAGAAAAAATAGATAACCTAAATAGCCTTAGAAATTGAAATAATAGCTTAAAACTTCCTACCAAAAAATCCAGACCCAGGCTTCATGGCTGAATTCTGCCCAAGAGTTAAAATAATTATATAAATTGTACTTCAGAAAATAGGAGTAAACACCAGCTCACTTTATGACACTATTACCATGATAGCAAAGCCGAAATCATTACAAGAAAACTACAGATCATATCCCTCTCAAACAGAGACACTTAAAACCTTAACAAAATATTTACAAATTGAATTCAGCAATATACAGAGTGGGACAATGGTAGGTTTGTAGTTGTGGGTATGGGAAACACTGTTTATTCTTGTATTATTATTTATTATTGTATTATTTTCTGTACGAACTGTAAACACAACTAAGATTATAACAACCCAAATCTTAAAATGTTCAATAGTTCTGAACAGACACTTTACCAAAGAAGATAAAGGAATGGCAAATAGGCATATGAAAAGATGCCCAACATCATTAGTCACTAGGAAAATGCAAATTAAAACCACAAGATACCACTACACATTCACTAGAATGGCTAAAACTAAAAATCAACAATATCAAGTGTTGACAAGGTCATGGAGCAAATGGCACTCACACATTGCTGGTGGGAATTCAAAATGGTACATCCACTTTGGAAAACAGTTCAGCAGCTTCTTACAAAGTTAAAAATACACATACAAGCCCCACTAATCCCACTCCTAGATATTTTTCCTCAAAAGAAAACACGTTAACACAGTTTTATAACAGAATGTACATAGCAGCATTTTTGAAAATAGCCAAAAACTGAAACAACCCTAATTTCCATCTTCTGTTAAACAGTTAACAAACTGTGGTTTGTCCATACAATGAAAATACTACACAGAAATAAAAAGGAATCAACTGCTGATATATGAGACACATGGGTGAATATCAAAAACATTATGCTAAGTGAAGGAAGCCAGACACAGAAAACTACAAATGATATGATTCCATTTATACGAAATTTTAGGAAAGGCAAAGCAGTACCATTTTGCATAGATCTGCAAAGCAGATAGGTGGTTATCAGGAGTTGGAGATGAAGACCAATTGCAAAAGGTTACAAGGGAACCTTTTGGGGCAGTTTAAGTGTTACGACTGTGATGGTAGTCCATATAAATACATTCAATGCCCATCAAATTGTAGACTTAAAATTTATAAAATTGAAAATGTAATCATAACTCATTAGAACTAAAAAGAAATAAGGAGTATTATTCTTTTAATTTTGGTATGGGAAAGTCCTGTCAACAACAAAAAACAGTCCATGGGGACTTCACTAATATATTATATAAACCAGTAAGCCTCATTATAGTATTTTTAAAAAGCTAAATTTAGACTTTAAAAAAAGAAAAAAATCTATAACAAAGATTAGAAAAAGCTTTCTAAGTAAAGAAAACAAAAAACCAACTCAATTATAGAAACAAAATAAAAAGTTCCTGCCGAAAGAAATCTAAAATACAAGATATGGTTCTTGACTTTAACACACACACACACACACACCACGAGGTTGTAAAACAGTGTATGAAAATCCCTGATCTTGTCTGATACAGAGTTTTATAAACTACAGGAATTATCACTTATAGAATAAAGGAACAAAAAGAAAAGAAAAATTAAACTACTGCTTACTCTTCGTCTCGGCTGGGGGAAGCCATCTCTGTGTCGTCGTCTTGTTCGGGAACGTGCCTGGATTCCCTGTCCTTTATTCAGTGGGTCAAAGGATTCTATAATAATCAGCAGAAAGCATAATGTGAGATAAATAACTCACAGACTTAAAGATTAAGACTGAGAAAGAAAATATCAGATAATAATCACTATATTCACTGTTTGTGATAACACAGAAATTTTTCATATATACTTAAGAGAAATAAAAGAATATTGCATGGAAATTAAGAGTTCATGAACAATCAAGAAAACCTCCTTTATGGTTACTGTGGGAAAGCTTAAAATAAAACACACAAAAGAACTACTCATAAGGACAACATGATACAAATTAACACCTTCAAAGGCAGTGACCATTTGTGCCCCAGATCGTTATCACACATTATAACTGCTTCATAATGACAACTGAGAGTTGTATCAATCTTCTAAAATGAAGGACTTTCAGTGAGCAGGTTACATTGCACAAACCTGATGGAAAATCTGCTTCCAGATCTTGTTCAGTTTCCCCTTTAGAGAACTGCTTCAATTCTGAATCAGCCTCTTGCACAGCATTTGACTTTAAGGCATAATGATTCAACTCTTCCTCCCAGCTATGTGGAGTAGACACGGCCTCTGATTCAAGATCACCACTGTATGTGCTTCCTTGGTCTGAAATAGATGGAAAACACAGCCTCAAAATAAGATAGGCTCCTAACATAGCCAGACACCTTCCCGAAACCCCTAAATACCAAAAACAAATATGTTGAGGGACAATTAACTAGGCACATTTAACAATGAAGTAACTTATTTACCAGTCTCACAGAACTGGGTTCATATTCTTAGAATACACTTTAAAGCATCATCTCAATTAATCCTTAAAACCAATATTTGAGGTAGCTTTTATTATTCTCATTACAAATTAGCACACAATCATAAACATCAGTGCCCCTACAAATAGGTAAAACTGCAAATGCCTAATCCAAGGATGTTAATGCTTTTTGGGTTTGTTTACTAACAGGACAGTACATATTTCTAAGATCCAAAATATGTTTAAAATTACAGACCTTTTTCAAATATCTTCGTGTCTAGAAAGAGTTCCTGCTCAGAAGTTTGGGATCCTAAAGAAAAAGAAAAGCACATAATAAACTATTTATATGTATACACAAGGCAAACTACATCTCAAATAATATATACATGAATTGCAAGAGAGAGTTCTAAATAAATAGCCTTCATTTACAGAAAGAATGTTTATTAATAAAAGTAGGCATGAGTAGTAAATGCAGTTAAGTAAATTACAACTTATAACAGAGGTTACACTTCTAGGTAACAGTATGAAAGAAGTCATGCCAAGAGACCTTTATTTTACATTCTGCACTTGTGTGCTAACTGAAAATTTTTCCCCCCATCTCTCTCTCTCTCTCTCTCTCTCACACACACACACACACACACACACACACACACACTCTCTCTCTCTCTCTCTTTCACAGACTGGCAAATCTGTTTTAAAATGCTTCCTACCCCAAAACATAGTATGTTTTGGAACCCCTGCACTGGAAAGCCAACAGACTTAGAACATTAAGTTATATAAGCAACCTACACATGGAACTAAACAGAATACAGTTCTATCAATTATAAACTCCTTTAAAAGTAAGAAGCCAGCCCTGGTCGGTGTGGCTCAGTGGTTAAAGTGCCGGCCCCAGGACCGAAGGGTCTCGGGTTCGATTCCAAGTCAAGGGCACGTACCTCAGTTGAGGCACGTGGGGCAGGAGGCAACCAATCAATGTCTCTCCCATCAATGTTTCTCTCTCTCTCCCCCCGCCATTTTCTCCCTTACACTCTCTAAAAAAATAAAAAATCAATGGCAATAAAAAATATCCTTGGTGAGAATTTTAAAAAGGTAATAAACTAGTCCCGGCCAGTGTGGCTTAGTTGGTTAAGCATCATCTCATGCACCAAAAGGTTGCCAGTTAAGATTCTCAGTCATGGCACATGCTCAGATTGCAGGCTCGATCCCCAGTAGGGGGTGTGCAGTAAGCAGCCATGGATGTTTCTTTCACATCATTGTTTCTCTCTCTCCCCCCCCCTTCTTCTCTCTTTAAAAATCAATAAAACATATTTCTAAAAAAATAAAAGAAGCTTAAAGATTCAAAGTAGTAAAAACCATTTTTTTAAAAACCCAAGAAAACTGCTTTTTCCCCTGAAATCAAAGTTAGCCAGATCCCTTTGGTTGAAATTTATTTTTCCCTCCTTTATGTTTTTAAACTATATGTGATTTTACTTACACTATGGTAACTACAACTATCTGTCTTGAAGCTTAGTTTTGAAAGTTCTTCTGTCTGACTCAACTGTAGGCTAAGGCAAAGTTAATATTTGTTCAGAGGAAGCACTTGATAAATGTTAACTATTAACATGAGTGTAGAAGCCAATTTAAACTGAGGTTTACCATCAGGAATTGCTTGAACTTCCAAACTAAGTATAATATCAGAAATTTAGAAGATCAAGCATAGGTACAATATTCTAAGATATTAAAATACACATATAAATGGGACAGAATTACAAGGCTATATACTAAAGAACAAAATGAGACCAGAAACACTGAAATGAACAAATAAGCTTTTTACCCATCACTCAGAACATATATGGTTTAAAAACTTACTGGCAACACAACAGAAAAGTTGACAGCAGTTTTTCAAATGCTACAGTGCTCAAAAAATCATCTAGCATTTATTATGCAAAATCAAATCCCAGTGGTTAGCTTTGTAAAAAACTGTCACTGAAAAAAAAAGAAAAACTTGTCAGGAAGAATAATTTCTTGGCTCATCAGTGATATATTAAAAGGCCTTGTGAAAATTCACTGATGTACTTCAACGATCTTAAACACCATTTTATATCTCTCTCTGCTTGTCACTATATCTCCTTATATCCAAAAATCAAGGAGCTGCTAATTAAGGCTAGAAACCTTTCAGGAATACAGTGGTACCTCGGTTTTCGAACATCCCAACTGACGGACATTTCAGTTTACAAACACAGTAAATCGGGAAGTAAATGCTTCGGTTTTTGAACACACCTCGTAAATCAAACATGCCACACGGCTTCCACTGAGGGCAAGATCCTGAGGCCTAGCTGTCACCTGCTGATCCCTCGGTTTTCGAATGTTTCAAAACTTGAACAGTCTTCCGGAACGGATCACATTCGAAAACCGGGGTACCACTGTATATATGACCAAGTTCTGGTTAATGTCATGTATCACTTGCTTTGGAGTCAGACAGACATGGATTCAACTTCTGCTTCATTCGCCTCCTGATTGCATAACCTGGGCAAGTAAAATATCCTAGTTTCCAACTGAGGAACCTGAACTGAAGTAAACAGTAGCCCCCTAACAGGGTTACTGGGACATTAAACGAGGCGACGTACATAGCACATTTGGGACAATGCCTAAAATATAGTAAGCACATAAATTTTAACTATTGTTGTTATCATTATTCTACACTCAGAATGGGATTTATCTACAGGTTACTTTGAGCCAAAATGCTTCTACCAACATGCTAGTTATTACACAACAGGAATTCTTATCTGAGGACCATGGCTTTGAATACAGGGATAAAATTTTAAAATGATCATGAAACTTGGATTTTTAGGTTTTCTGGAATCATTATCACTAAAAACTGTATTGAGTATCAGTACTTGGTTTCTTTCATTAAAAAGACAGAGCTTTCAGAGATATCAACAGGTTCAACAAACCCACAGATTTAGTATTTAAACACAATAAAGCATTTAGAGACATCTTGACAGCCTGATTCTTAAAATTACCTGTTACCTGAAAATGTGTAGGGGTGTTTTTCTTTCTTTACTTTAAAATTATACCAACCTCCCTGGGATAGAGTCTTCTCCTTCTCTTCATCTTCTGCAATCATTTCTGCCATCTCAAGGAGATCAGCTTCAAATGGATGTGAGGGAAGCTTTTCTTTAATGTCTTCAATACTCTCAGTGGCTTTATCTTCATTATCCATTGAAGATGGAATAAGCATAGGGACAGGCATCTGAAAGACCAAGGATGGACTGAAGAGTTTCTTGGGCAATAGGTTCATCATCAAAAGTATTATTTGTGAGATGATGTAAGTACTAAAATAATAAATTTAAGGTATTTCTATTGCTGATGACTAAAATAGTCTTGCTAGTTTGTTTTTATAAGAATACAGCCATTTAAATAAAAATTCAGTTTGAGCTTTTCTGCAAATTCAACAAAATGTGTCTTTGAATTCTCCAAAAGGATAATTATCTAACGTACCTTTGTTTTGCTTTTGATTATATTTCCTGTTTAACATTTTCACACAACTGTTTCCCTTAAAAATTCAGTACTGAGGGAAAATATATTTCAAATAAAAATATCAATACCTTTTTCTTTAATAAAAATTAAGAATCATGTAAATCACAGTATTCATCTTTTCATGCTTTATAGAATCTAGTGGACTAACACACACACACACAGAGTTTCTGATCTTTTTCTGAGTGATCTTATTATTATATGAAACATAAAAAAGCTACATCATAGCCTTCTCTCAGAAGGCAGGATACAAACAGAAGCAGTTCTTTATATACTCCATATTAAGTAATATAGTAATACGATTACAGCCAACCTGAGTCATATGTATTTTACCAAAAAATGAAAGTTTTTTATGAAACTGTAAAGTTTTAATCGAGGAAAATGTGTACTAAATCTTAGTCTCTACATGATTACTCACTGGAACTGGAATTCCAAATGGGACTGGTGTATACTGAGTATACAGGTGAAGAGGTATGGGCACAAACACTGGTACAGGAACTGGCACCACAATGATCTGGGGCGGGCTTAGAGTATCTTCTAATGGGGAAAAAAAATCACAGAAACAAAAAGGGTCAGAAACCACCTTTTAATAAAAAACATTTTTAAAAGCACACAGAGATTTATAGTTCAAGAGGAGTGTAATCTGTGATACTAGGAATTCATAGAAAGGAGAAATAAGTGAAGTAGCAAAGAAAGATGTGAGTATAGCACTAACAAAAAAAGTGAGCAACACAATGATTATCAATGACATGAGGATAAAATTAATGAAAGATATAATGTGGATGAATGAAGGGAAGGATGGGAAAAGTGTTCTTAGATGAGGGGTATGGAAAGCTGTTAACATGAATAAGTAGGTTATGTTAGAGAGCAGAATGAATAGATACAGGGCCATTTATGTGAAGCTAAATCATTTCTAGTAAATAGTGAGGAGCAACTACAGCTCTTTTAGCAGTAAGTAATGTGAAGAAAATAGCATTAAAAAGATTGATTTGGCTGCCATCTTAGCACAGAATAAAAGTATATGAAGTGTAAAAGTAGGAGGCAATTACAATATGTAGAGCTAACATTATGAAGGTGTTAACTAGGGTGATTATGATACCTACAAAAAAGAATAAATATATATAGCTGATACGCTAAGGTGTTAAGAAGATGAAACAGATCTTGGAAACTAACTTAAATATGAGTAGAGAAAAATGGGAAGAATGGAAGATTCATTCAATTAACAAGTATCCTCAGAGTCCTTTCTATGTGCCAGAAAAATATGCTGGATAACTACAAAATCATTACTGTAGGAGGAAAATAATGCTGGTCACAAAAAGTGAAAAGCTGACAATCTGACTAGGGTTGGAAGTAGTAAATAATACAGGGTAAGTTTTATCATGGTGCAGTGGATGTAAAAAAAGTTACCAGAATAGAGATGTTTGATAACCAAGCTATGTAATACAAAATAAGTCACTATTGACCCAATAAAAATATAGGACTAAGTCACTTACAGCCTTACTACGTAATGTGGTTCATAGACCAGTAGCACTGACATTACACAGGAGCTTGTGAGAAATGTAAAACCTAAGGACCCACTGAATCAGAATCTACATAATAAAACCCCCAATTAATTCAAATGCATATTAATGTTTGAGAAACACTGGCCTACACGATAACCTTCTAGGAATCTAGGAATTTAGGATTTCTTGCTAGTTTAAACATTCTGGGGCTTTCATTTGGCAGGAGGAGAAGTTCCACAAACCCATTCTCTAGTGAAACAAGCAAAGCTGGTGAAAACTGTTAAAAACAACCATTTAAATTATTTGGAAATTGTCCTTAGGGCATACAGCAAATGGAGAAACATTTATTCAGGAAAATCTACTGAAATTCAGTAAGAACAGTGGAAGTCTATGACAGTTGATCCGGCACCTGCTTCATATCCCCAGCTCAGCCAGTTCAATGGACAGAAGCTGTACTCTGGGTGGGTGTGATCAGGAAGAATGGTTTCTCTTCAATCAGCTGGTAATCAAGGATTACTGTATCTCACTAGGAGGGGCAGGCCACCGTTATTTTTAATCCCCTTCAACTACAAGTTTAAGAGGTTAATTTCCTGGTGAGTGCAGATGACAGGCTGGGGGCTCCCTTCCTCCACCCAGCTCCCACTCATAGGACAGAAGCCCTGACACAGGAATGGATGGCTAAGAATAGCGGGGTCCAAATCACCATCACCCCAGATCACTTGTAGCACAGAGATTCCATTCCAGGATTGGCAAGCTGAGAAGGTCAGAGGCTAGCACCCTGGACAAAATTCAGAGAAGTGGTTCAGACATTGTGCCTGGGAGAGAGGCAGTTCATAAGGAAAGAAACTCTGAAGCTCTCCTTAAATTCCAAAGTCTGTACTTACTCCATAATATTACACTACCATTAATAAGAAAATTAAATAAAGTGTTCACAGTATGGTATGATCAATTAACTACTTTCTCTTTGTCACAACTTGTTAAGTCTCAGATGTTGAAAATACCTAACTCACAGGGATGCTGAGAGAACAAAACTGAATAATGTATTTATGCAACCAAACACACTACTAGGAAATAATAGGCACTCAATATAGTAGGCACTTAACATAGGCAGATCCCACATTCCTTTCCCCTAAAAAAATTAAATAAAGAAAGTACCTGTCTGGCATTCCTTTCCCCTAAAAAAATTAAATGAAGAAATATACCTGTCTGGCATTCTTTGTTTTGGGTATGTGGTTTGCATGAGGTGGCTTTAGTCTGTGTGATGGGTTTGCACAATAAAGCTTTATTCTTCAAAAGTCTTGGAGGCTGGGAAGGTGGGAGTTTCAGGGCATCTGTTTGTGTACTTGCCTAGTTAAAAACAAAAATCAAAAGAAATAAAAAATAAATCTCAGATACCAAAGAGGTTGTCAAAAGTTTATCATTAATTACAGAAAATATAATTTCTAAAGAAATACTGTATTAGAATTACACAGAAAACACAGAACATATTCCTGAAATAGCAATATAGCAATATTTTGATAACTACATATTGATTCTAAATATATCTAATTACCAGTTCTGTTTACCAAGAAAAATGTTATTTCTATTATTGTAAGCCATTGTTGATTAAGCACAAAGTTGGTTAAGTTTAAAATGAGAACTGTTTTTTCTAGACTAAGTGAAGTCTTAGAAGCCTTAGTTTCAAGATAACTAGAAATAACAATCACTTATGATCATTTTACGGATGGAAAAAAGATCATAAGAATGGTATCCCACAGACCAGGAAACACTTTAGAAAGGCCACTGTTTTAGTCATCAGAGTTTCTCATTATTTACTTTTTTCTTATTGTAAGAGAAAAGCAAAAAATTTTGAGTAAAAAAAAAAAAAAGTAATGCTTATTTACAGCACAATCTCCATGGGGTAGAAAACAAACTGCATTTATAATTATCTTATTTACAATCTGACTACATTACAAATGCCCCAAAAACTTTTTATGCCTGAATTCTGTACAATTAACTTTAAATCTATACAACAACAGCAAAAACTTCAGTAACTACATAGATAGCAAGCATTTAAAGAAATTAAAGTATATAAAATACCTAATTAAATAACAAAAAATTCTGTTCCTGAACAAAGATTAAATGAGCTCATAACATTTATTTTATATAATAAATAATAAAAAAGGGCAAAGTAGCTTAGACATATTCATATGACATAAAAATGGAATATAAATACAGTGGCAATACCAATAAAAATAAAACTTACATCTCCAATGATTTTCGCTGTTACTGTTGGAACTGCACCTGATATAAATTAAAATATATGTTTAGTATCTTACACAACTGAACATTAGCATTAAAAGTTGATTATTAGACAATAAACATAAAGTCTCTCATAATAAAATATGTATTACCTTAATTTAATTCACGGAAAGACTAGCATCTAAAGTATAATATGAGAAAAAATATCTAGAAATTATGAAAACACTAATACCCTAGCAGCTCACAGTGAGCCACCATTGCTAATATGAATGTATCAAACATATGAAAATGATCACTGATGGCAAAAAGATAGAGAATCACTATACTCACCTCAAAAAGGCTAGATAAATGCCTTCAAATTAAGTCATACCTTGTAAAACGCTGTTAGAATTCACTGTGGGCTGAGCAGCAGGAGCACTTGCTAATGAGACTACATTAGCTATAACTGGAGTTGAATCTTTTCTTAGCGATGGGGGCCCTGCTGAAGCAGCTGACACCATGGAAATGCTTGCTGATTAAAATAAACAAAAATTTTGAAAGCTCATATAATTTATAAGCACATACATAAAAACCAACATCTTTTAAGTTAAAGTAAATTCTGTTAAAGCAGTCACTTTAAGACTAACTGGGGTTTTTTTCTATTTTTTAATTAATGAAACTTAAAAGTATTCTGTGTTCTTTATCTTGTATAACTATGCAGACGATACATTTAAGAGGCCATGTGATTTAACATTGTATGCTCTTTTTATAGTCTCAAATCCTTTTTTAAGGAAGTGAAGGTGTACACATCCAATTACAATACATTAACTGCCATTCTTTCCTATAAAGTTTTTGAACAGTTTATTTGACTCTAACTGCTCAGAGAAAAGTAAAAAACCTCATTTTTACTGGGCTTTAATCTCAGGTGTTAAACAAAAAATGATCTAAATGTTAATGTCATGTGAATTGAATGAAATGTATGTTTCATCACATTATTGACAATTGTTTAACGTTCCCAGTCTGTAAAAGTAGGTAGTCCCCTACCCTGATCAAAGACTAAAGTTTAATTTTACCTGCATTGTTTTGTGAAGGTGGGTCACACATACTTTGCTGATTACAGAACATCAAGATACAAAGCAGGTTACAGAAATGTTTCATTTCTCCACGCCATTTCAAGGACTCACTGAGTTTACCCTGTCGCTTACAGCCATCACATTTGGCCATCTGAAACAGAAATAGAAGATAGTAAAGGAGTAAGAAACAATTAACTGTGGTCTGACAATAAAATCAGGATACAGGAGAAAACGGGACATCTGTAATATTTTAAACAAAAATAAACAAACAAAAAAATCAGGATACATGTAACAAGTGAGAGCATTAACTTAGAATTTAGGTGACAAAAATGAAGGTTCCTGGCTGGCATGGCTCAGCGGTTGAGCATCAACCCAGGATCTAGGAGATCAGGGTTCAATTCTGTCAAGGCACATAATCCCAGGTTTCAGGCGTGCAGGAGGCAGCCCATCAATGACTCTCTCATCATTGATGTTTCTATCTCTCTCTCTCCCTCTCCCTTCCTCTCTCTGAAATCAATAAAAACATTTAAAAACAAAACAAAACAAAAATGAAGGTTATCTATCCTACAGTGGTACTTATTTATCTATCAATGATTTTATACTAAATGTTAAAAAAAGTCATAGATGCCAATAAATTGTAATTAAAAAACACAGTGAAATGAAATAAGACCTTCCTCCAAAACTTAAGACAAATTCATTTTAGTTAAATAAATGAACAAAATTATAATTTTAAATATGTACTGTCTTAAGACTGTTATATCTTCTCCATGGAAATTAAAAACAAAGGGAATATAACTTCAGTGACATTAAAGTCTTCCAAAATCTTAATTTAATGCTGGAGAACATAACAGATTTAATCTTAAAATTTTTGATGATTAAACTGCATACTTCATCAAAGAATAAAAGAATGGAATAATGTATGCCCTAAGTTGAAAACTCACAGACAGGAATTATATTTACCTGATAAAACAGAACTGTATATTTGGACATGCATTCTTCACAACAGAACTCTTCCACCTTCCCCCCCAAATTATTCTGTACCAATTTGGGAGATGTTTGTAAACAATAACTGCACATTTTACAGTGATTTCCCCAGAGTTTTGCCAAGTCATGTTTATAAAGCAATTTGCAACCTAAAAAAAATCAGGAAAGATAAAATTAACATTAGGCAGAAATATTAAGTATGCCCTATATTAAATGCCTTATAGCAAAATTTCCACACTTAGGTCCTCACCAATGAGATCAAGAGATCAATATAGAGGATCAATACTATCACTTAAAACATATTATAGTGCTTCACATACAGTAAAAGTTAATTTGTTTAATAAAGCTTTTGTTTTATTTGGGTATGTGATATCACAATGTAAAATGTATTTCTTTTTGTGTTGTGGTCAAAAGGTTTGAAATCCACTAGTCTAGTAGGCTAATCTCGTGCAATTTTAGAATAACACAAAACATTCCAAACATGTAAGATAGTCATTTAAATAAAGAAGAAAATTTCCTGAATACTGATTTGCAAATTCAGATCATTTATATTCAGAAACATAATGGCTGTTTAAAACAATAAAAGTATAATTTACCAAATATAAAGAGTTTCCTTTAGAAGTTCTAGAACTAAAAGAACCCTGTCAACCAAATATCATTAAATGTTTGTCACATTACCATCATCTTCTGCAATATACTTGAAGGATCATTTCTTTCATTTTAACATTTATATTACATGAAGAATTAGATCAGAAAAAATTGAACCAAGCATAAACAAACAAAAAGGGTTTGGTGTTATACACAGAGGATAAAATAGATAAATTAACATACTAACAGTTTAAATCATCAACTACTTTTAAAACAACCAACATGCTCAGTAGGTAAGATAATCTCCCATCTTTACCTTCACTACAGAATGACTTGTCAGTGCCTGAGAATCTCACAGTCTCCTTTACAATTTTCTCAATTTTACAATATTCACACATTGCCATTACATGATTTATTTTCTTATATTCATCAGAACAATTCTTGCCACAAAACTGAAACATTTTACCCTGCAAAGAAATAATCATTAGGTACTAATTAAACATTTATCTTATGGAAATCTATATCCCTCTTACTTTCAAAACAAACAGTGTAATTTTGAGAGAGAAAACGGCAGCCGGCCAGCATGGCTCAGCAGTCAACCTATGATCCAGGAGATTGTAGTTCGATTCCCAGTCAAGACACAAGCCCAGGTTGCGGGCTCCATCCCCAGTTGGAGGCGTGCAGGAGGCAGCAGATCAATGACTCCCATCATTGATGTCTCTATCTCTCTCTCCCTCTCCCTTCCTCTCTCTGAAATCATTAAAAAACAATATTTTTTAAAAGGCCGAAACAATTTTACAGATAGACCAGTTTATACTCAAACCCCTTATCATGATCCTACACTTTACCTTATAGTCAAGAAGTTCCGGTTTTGTGCCAAAAAGACGGTTACAGTGCTGACACTTAAGTTTTACAACACTTCGTGCAAACCCAACGTGTTGAGACTGGGCAGCAAGACGCTGGAGACCAGCTGCAGCAGAGCTATTGATGGAGGTGGGAGAAACAGCAGAGGTGTTACCTCCTCCTGCTGACACTGTTGAACCTCTGGGGATGCTTACAATTACTTGGCCCTGAGACAAGGGCACTACTGAAGAATTCATTCCCGTTGGTTTGTTAAACAAATTCTGGGGGGGGAAAGGAGGGGAGATCAATGTCATCATTTATTCAAAAAAAGAAGTACTGACTGTCTAAGTATACCAAGCACAGTTCTAAGCAACTAAGATACATTTGTGAACAGGCAAAAATTCCTACCTTTGAGCAGCTTATACTTGAAAGGGGGGGAGTGTCATTTATAAGCAAAAAAAATAAAATAGTTCAAAAATAACATGTTCCCAATAGACAATCTAGGTAATAATAGTACCATTAATTTTACAGAAGGCAGTTAAATGACATGCCTCCAAATACAGGATGAACCAAAGAATCCAAGCTTAATAGGACTGAGAGAGAAATTTAAGCAATCCAGGCACTAAGTAAACACCTAGTAAGTTCACATTACTATACAGTAGTAGGCAACTCATTAACTGGAGAAGAGAAAGATTCCTGAAGCCATACCTGGAAAGCTACCACACAACTGTAGCTGCAGAAGTTGCGTATACTTCCATCTGACATGGCTAGGTGATACTGAGGGATTGCTGAAGTTTTACAACTGTTACACTGAACTTGTACACCTTAGAGTAAATCAAAAGAAAACTAATGAGTAATATATACAAGTGTACACAAATGTATAAGAAGATAAATAAATTTTATAAAAGATATGAAAGAACTCATAGCACTCAGCAAGAGAAAGAAAACAACCCAATTAAGAAATGGGCAAAGGACTTAAATAGATGCTTCTCCAAAGAGGACATACGGATCGCCAAGAGAAACATGAGAAAATGCCTGACATCACTAATCATCAGAGAGATGCAAATTAAAACCACAATGAGGTATCACTTCACACCTGCCAGAATGGCTGCCATCAACAAATCAACAAACAACATGTGCTGGGCGAGGGTGTGGAGAAAGGGGAACCCTAGTACACTGCTGGTGGGAAAGCAGACTGGTGCAACCACTATGGAAAACAGTATGGAGGTTCCTCAAAAAATTAAAAATGGAGCTGCCGTTTGACCCAGTGATTCCACTCCTAGGAATGTATCCTAAGAATCCTGAAACATTCATCAGAAAGGATATATGTACCCCGATGTTCATAGCAGCACAGTTTACAATAGCTAAGATCTGGAAACAGCCCAAGTGCCCATCAGTAGATGAGTGGATAAAAAAGCTGTGGGACATTTACACCATGGAATACTACACAGCTGTAAAGAAGAAGAATCTCGTACCCTTTGGGACAGTATGGATGGACCTGGAGAATATTATGCTAAGTGAAATAAGCCAGGCAGCGAAAGACAAATATCACATGATCTCGCTTATACGTGGAATCTAAAGAACTTAATAAACTGATGAACAGAATAGATTCAACGACATGGAAGCATAGATGAGACTGATGAATGTCAGAGGGATGGAGGGGGGCGGTGGGTGGAGGGGGAGAGAGTGACCAAAGAATTTATGTGCATATATACACAACCCAAGGACATGGACAATGGTGGGGAGGGGGAAGGAACGGGGTGGAATGGGTCATTGGGGAGAAAAAGGGACATTTGTATTATTTTAAACAATAATAAAATTTTAAAAAAAAAATTTCAAGGGCTAGGTCAAGTTGCAAGAACTGAAACTAAACTTAATCACATCACATAAAGACAAAAACTAGCTTAACATTAAAAATATTTCTTTTAAAGTTATCAGTCTACTCTGAAACTATAAGCTAAATGAATCTTGAAATAAACCAGGTGTGAATAAAGAAAATATATTAAAGAAACTATATGGAATTCATTTGGTAAGGACAAATGCACTAATAAGAAATCCAGTAAACAAACATAAAATAAGCAACCAGGTAATAGGTGATATTTTATAACATAGATCTGAAATATTTTAAATTTCCCTTAAAAGTCAACTAAATTTGGACAAAAACCTGGACTATAAAAACAAAGCAATAATCACAATTTTCCCAATGATTATATTTATATAGTTTACAAAACCAATATTACCTGCAGAAGTAACCATTTTAACTCTGTAAGCAGATAAGCAATTAACAGAACAGAAAAGCTCTGTCTTTCCCAAGCTATTGGTATTTTCAATCATTTCTGCTGAGGATCTCAATGATTTGCAAAGTGCACATGGTGTAATTTTGGCTGATTTCTATTAAGAGAATAAAATAACATTCATTTTTACCAAATTACAAGTAAATGCACAATTCTTTGAAATGTTTATGCTTAACACTGTTGAAATATTTTAGATTAGTAGCTTTCAAACTTTTATGATTACAATCCTCAGTAAGAAATAAATTTTACAAAGAGACCCAGTACACACATATTTCTGAGGTTTTGTGTTTGTATTTTATACAATGTGTCAGGTTCGATATTAGGTGCTTGCTCTCTCATTCTTACTTCATATAAACCTAAAAGTATCCCAGTGACATAGGCAGTATAATACTTATTTACAGACAAGAAAATGGACTCAAGAAGTTTAACTTGAGTAAAATTCTATTTGAACAGAAAGTCTGGGAATCAAACCAAAATCTACTTTATTTCTAAGTCCAAATTCTTTGTCTACACCACAGTACACATTAATGTGAGAAATTTAACAGGTATTGGCTAAATTATAAATAATAAATAATTTAAAATTAAGAAGTTTCAGCCTATTGCTCCTTCTCTAGTGGAGTATGAACCATCTTTCAATTGGCTGAACCTAAGCAACTTTTATTACTTGATACAATATCAGGAAAATATCTGGACAAAGATAAAACACATGAAGATACTGTCTGGCTTTTTTCCCCATGAGAGCAAAAACAAGATGTTACTAAAGGAAGCTAAGCTCTTTTAATGTGTTTGTATATTAATCAAAAATAAATGCAAACACTGTATAGTATTTAAAATTTCAGAATCACTGCAAAGTTTTAAGAACAACAATTTAAGCCTGGCCAGTGTGGCTCAGTTGGTTGAGCATCATCCCATGCACCAGGAGGTCACTGGTTCAATTCCCGGTCAGGGCACATGCCCGGGTTTTGGGCTCAATGCTCAGCAGGGGGCGTGCAATGAGGGAGTCAACAGATGTTTCTATCGCTCCCTCTCCTTTCCTCTCCCTGAAATCAATAAAATATTAAAAAAAAGAAAATTTTTTAAAATTTCCCAATCAACATTATTAAATTCACAAATTTTGGTTGATTGTATAAAAATTCACCAAGAAAAAGAATGATCACAAATGTACTGAAACAGGAAGTCACTGTAAAATTTAAAATGTAAAAAGATTTTACTATTCCTTTGGGTTTATCAATTTTAAAATCTGATTTTTGATAAAATTTACTAACAAAATATAAATTGAGTACAAAACTGCTTTAGACATTTGTCATATAAGAATTCATCCAATACAAACCTTAATTCACAAAGTAATATATAGCCCACATTTATTTTTCCTTATTTCATAAAGAAAAAAACCTCTTAAACAATTAATGGTAAGATTTTTATTTTCTGAATTGCAATTTCAACCATCTGGATCTGATTTCAAGAATACATATGGCACTTGGACCTTACCCTATCAAATAGTGTGTGTTTATATATGTAAACCAAAATATATTTCAAGGATTAGAAGGCGAACACCGAAAGAATCGTGCATTACTTTTCTTCTTTGCACTCTTCTGCATTTTCAAAAAATTGTTTAAAAACATGAATCATATATGAAATAAAAAAGCCATACCTAAAAGCATGTATTTCAAATGCATGAATAAAAATATATGCTACTGCCTTGGCTGGCATGGCACAGTGGTTAGAGCATCGGCCCACGCACCAAAGGGTTTCAGGTTCAATTCCTGGGTCAAGGCACGTACCTGAGTTGCAGGTTCAATCCTGACCCGGTGGGGGGGCATCTGGCAGGCAACCAATTGAAGTGTCTCTCACATCGATGTTTCTTTCTCTTTCTCTTTCTCTCTCTCTCTCTCTCTCTCTCTCCCTCTCCCCCCCCCTTCCCTTCCACTCTGTTTAAAAAAAAGGTCAATGGAAAAAATATCCTTGGGTGAGCATTAACAACAACAACAAAAAAAGAAAGAAAAAGAAGGAAATATATGCTACTTATAAAACTCTTGTTACAAAGTTTTTAACAGGCATTCATTCATTTGGCAACTATATGTAAAAATACTAATTAAGGTAATAATAAAATCTTAATATTTTTGTGATATTTTCATAAATAATTTCCACCAAAAAATTTAGATACCCCTAAAATGAACAAAGCCATCAGGATTAAACATGGTCATGTACCTGCTTATATGCTGTGACACACGATGAGCTACAAAACTTCTTAGACTGTCCCTCTATCTGAAGCATGTGGCACTGTCCAGAGCCACTGTAACAGTAACCCCCACAGTTCTCACAACAGTTCATAGTGAGGTTGTTAGCAGAGCGAAACTTAGAGAAGCAGGCATCACTGCAAAGTTTATGTACCACATTTTGGTAATTAACTTCATGTCGAATCTAGGAATTAAGAAATAACAACATACAAACAACAAGCAGAGATCATCAAAACTGTTCTTTAAGCACAAACATTAGACTCCTCCCCCCAATAAAGTAAAAAGGTAACTTACAACAGCATTCTTCTGACACATGCTGCATTTGGTTGAAATGCTATTCGTATTTATGGTAACAACAGGTTTCCTTTTCAGTTCATATGTTGACAAACATGACTGGCTGCAAAAATCTTTACTGATGTTGGTATTTTCAAACTGGGCACTGATCACATCCTTTGGATTTAAAATGTCTCTAAAAATTATGAAGGTAAAATAAGCCACATTATAATTAATGGTTTTTTTTCCTTTTTGTGAGCTAAATAAAATAAAACAGAGGCAATTACAGTATAGAAAAAGGTCACTGATATTTAAATCAGAAAACCTGGATTTTCTTGAATAAACTGATAAACTGCTTTGATCCTGAAGTTCTGTTCTATAAAATGGACCAAATACAGGCTTACTTCACAGAACTGTTGAAAGAATTAGTATACTATGTTTCCAGATTTAAAAGATATACACATATCAGTTATCATTCATTACCTCTAGTAGGTAAAATTATAGAAGATTTTTAATTTTCTTCTTCAGGCTCTCCTATATTTTCAAAATATTCTTTAAAAATACTACACTTGAAAATTTTGAAAACCACTCTTTTAAAAGAACACCTTTCAAACTACAATGTATATTTTAGCATGATTATATAAGATTGAACATTTCCATATCTAAATAATTTGTAGGCATCGGTTACAAAGGCAACAAAGATTAAAATCCTAGTGATTAAGGAGACTCCCTACCACTCCACTCCTTATCCCACAGGAAAACCAGTCTTCCTACAGTAGTTTATCAGATTGTTTAAGTATAAAGCATTTTTAAAACCAATTTTTAAAAACAAGAATAGTTTCTTATTGATTTTTAGAGAGAGAGGGAACAAGAGAGAGAGAGAAACATAGATATGAGAGAGAAACATTGACTAGCTGCCTTCTGCATGTCCCCCACCAGGGATTGAGCCCAAACTGGCCCCAACAGGGAATCAAACCAGCAACTCCTTGGTGCACCTGACGACACCCAACCAACGGAGCCACACCAGCCAGTGCAAAAACCCAATTTTAAAAAATACCTTGATGAAACTTTCTAAACAGTGTCTATCTCCCATGATTACACACCCACAGAATAGTAAATAAACTGTGTTCTATTCATTCCTGCATCTTTAACAGATTATACTAATAAAGTGCTTTATAGAAAAGATTACAAATATCTCTGCTTCAATAACACGTAACAGTAAACATGAGAATCATTACAAGGAACACGCGATACTGCACTACACTGCAATACACAACTTCATGCCTCATCTTCTATAGTTAATAGCTCCAGTCTACTCTGCATTTTTTTGCTTTACAGTTATTTAAAAATTAAGTTTTACTGTATTTCACTTATAGGGGTATACAACGAGCAGTTGTATTGAGCCAGGCACTAACTAAAGCCTGTGTCAAGATACATGCACTCAAGGAGCTCCTGGTATATTGGGACAAATAGGCAAATGACATAAAATACCGTAAAAGAAGCATCCTTAAAATATAAAAGAGCAGTGTAATAATTTTGAAAAAGACACATATATTGTACTGTATAGAAATAGAAATGAAGAAACAATTATTTCAGACACTATGTGACGTGGAAGGCTACCCAAAAGATGGCACTTGAGCTGGACCTTAAATAGGAATTTTCTAAAAGGTTAAGGAGATAAGAGCTTGGAAATAGTATGAATCAAGGCAATGGAAGTATAAAACATAACAAAAAGCACCTAATCATATTCAAATTTATTTTAAAAGTCTCTTCTCTATATGTCTTTTTCCAACTGAACCAGAAGAGGGAGCATCTTTTTCCCTTTCCAAACAGAGAAAAGGCTGCATCCTTCTGAGGAACTATAAACACAAATATCTAAACTAATAAATCATGGTTTGCATAGCTTAATAATAGAAGCCATTGTGTTTCGGAACAAGAGCATTATTCATCTTTTTCTGACTTAAAGTTTCTATTAATCACCTTACAAAATTAGCTAAAATTAGTTCATATTATTCAAATATATTAGGATGGCCTTATAGGGTCTAAGGTCTTACATACTTCTCTGTTGTTAAACACTGAAATGGGACCTGTGAGGTAGTTTAGAGATATTGAAGAAGAAAGAAAAAGAAAAAAAAAA